ACTGTCATACATTTTTTTTGGATACCGCAAACGACAAGGTGGTTTATCAGTTGTTGCTATTCTAACATCTTTGTAACAAGTACTAGTATGATGATGAAATTGATTTTCACATGCTAAAGTTCGTACAGTTATTCGTTTGGCTTCGTCAAAATTTGCATCAGTAGGCGAAGGTATTGGCGAACATATTGATATGGATGTATGGTTATGTTTTTCAATATTGCATGTATTTGATTCTCTAATGTTGTTTTCAAAAGCATCTAGATCTTCTTTTATAATATCTTCTAAGTAGTTGATTAGATTTTCTCGAAAAATCTAAAGAACCATATTGTAGTGTACATACAGTATTTATTATTGTATATAAGATAGTAATTCACGTAAAGGGATATACTCGGTTGGAGAGAAAAAGAAGAGAAAGCTTCGCCAGAGGGAAACAGTATTCAATTTTTTTTTTTGAATATCTTTATATTCAATTTTAACGAAATTTATATGATTTCCATCAGGAAGCGACTATAAATCATTAGAAAATAATCATAAAAGTTTAAAATCAGTATATTGTTTTCATTCTATCGTGATTTGGAACCTTGTCCTGCAGGATATGATGAGTGTTTTACAATCTTCATATGAGTTATTAAAGTATACGTGCTACGGAATGATTGATTTGTAAAATGGTAAAATGTTTTTTGTGAACATTTAGAGAAACTAACTACCAATGTTTAACAGACAGACGTCTACATATTCAAATAGCATATTTTTAAAGAAATACTTTTGACTCACATCATCTGATATTAGTTCACGCAATTCATGTGGATCTTTACTATTAGCAAGCCACAATAACATATGTAAATGTAATGCACCTCGGCCCGATTCTTCAACTGTACCATAATAAGCTTCAATCTCACCTAATACACCACCACCAGGATTTGATTCATGTTTATTAATATTATAATTAATTAATGTAGACAAAACTGTTGTAATAAGTTTGTTAAAAAAACGTGCAATGGCGACAGGATGACTTGCAACGATTGCTGCACGTTCATGTGATTTTGGCAATAATTCAGGAGTTAGATTATCAATATCAAGGTCGACACCGGCAAATTTCATAGCTAATGGATGATGTAAATCACATGGATTAATAGTAATGAAAATGTTTGGTAGACCTGAGAAAAATATTTGTGAGTGAAGTTCTACTCGATAATTAGAACGTGATTGATTTGATCCCATGACACTACCAGAAACAGTTTTCAGTTGTTTCAATAATAAAGATAAACGTGGATTTAATGTATAAATGTTCGAATTTGATTCAATCTGATCTAAAGCAATTTTAACTTCTTTAGCTGTTAGTTGATTTATCTCATTAGCTTGTGAGCTAAAATAAGGTCTTGATACAAGTAGACGTGATTTGGTACATGCTGTTCGGCGTTGTAAAATATTAAATGTCACAAAAATAAATGATGCATTCATTTCAAAACGATGATCATGATACGACAAAAAATAACGAATATGTTTTGCATATGAAACACGTACTGGTCTACGTTCGTTTTCAACACCACCAACGCCGAATGGAAATAATGTTGGATACAATCCTATAAAATAAGTATCATATGAATATAAATGTTGGAATACTCAAGTGATTTGAATACCGGGTAAAAATGATGTATTAAAATATTCATTCACTGGATATGGTTCATGTGGTACAACATAGATGTTATCATCTGTGTTAGTTATTTCATTAGTAATATTGGTCCGTAATTTTAAATTGTGTCTTATATCCTTAGATGATATCGATGTAGCATTTGTATCGATCAAAGCACTCATATTCAATGGAACAACACCGTTTAAGCACAATTCGTTTGGATTTATATCATTATTAACATAACCGGAACGTTCCATATCAGAAGTCTCTGTTTGGTTTAAGAACGACATTGTATTCCATAGACAATCCGGTATTTCGTTTGTTGGTAATGTATCAATAAGTAAATGATTAATATCTATGTTGTTATATAGGATATTGTTTCGATGCAACCAAATGAGTGCTGTTCGAATTTTTTCTCGACGAACAGTAAGTATTGATCTTAATTGGTCTTTACTTGGAATTGTTTTACCGACAAAAATAATTTTAATAGTATGATGTAGTTCGTCAACTGATAAAGGAAGTTGCTTAGCAATATCTGATAGGTTTTGTGGAAATGTTATTACATTTCCCTTAAGCGCTGATTGAGCTAGTGATGCATCACTTGTGATACTACATAATTTAATGACACAACTAGAATGACGATACTATAAAATTAAGATATTTAAAAGAGTTAAATTTTTAAAAAAATGAATTCTTTACTAATGCAATTAGTTTCTGTTCAGGTAAAGTAAGGTCTTTTAATGCTTCGGGAATATCACCAATCCACATTAGATTACTTAATGATAATGATGGTTGTTTATTACCTAATAAATCTGTGTAACATGGACGACACAATTGAGCATTTAGTGTTTCTAAATGGATACCTTTTCGACATAGTAGCATTTTGTTAATGATTATACTCGTATCTTTTTCATTCGAGAGATATTCTTGTTTTTGCTCTTCTGCAATGAAATAGAAATGACGAAATGAATCTGTTTTACTAAAGAAGTATTTTGAAAATTTACCAGATATATGAAATGTATCACTTGTTGTGTCAATGTGTAAATTTAAATGAAGAACACACGAAGGTATATGATCGATCTGATATAATAAATGTTTATTTGGAATTTCACCGATATGTTTTTTAACACTTTCTGTTTTGTAATGTAAGCATGCACAAATGGCACAAACAATTTGATGGACTGCATCGTTTGACACAGCATTTTTGAACTTAGTAAGACAAGCATGTTTAATCTCCGTTGTTGCAATTTTTGGCCATATTTCTGTTGCTGATTGGATGGTATTTATATTACGTCTGTTTTTGGTAATGTAAAATTATGAAAAATACAAATTTTTTTCTTACGACAAATCGGCATTTCTTTTACGTGGTTTTCGAGCATTTTGTTCTTCTTCAGTTTCATTCTGTTGACGTTTATTTCTTCTGATCTTTTCAGTTTGACTGTTAGACGATAAGCGTTTTATACGTTCGTCATATGTTTCGAGGTCTTGTGTGGTGCGTCTTTTATTCATCTTGCATGTTGCTTCTTTTGTTAGTCTTGTTGAACGTATTGCGTCCGTTTCGTGTAAATTTTGGGTACGTCGTCGATTTGCGGCAATAAGTGCTTGATTATTCAATCTGTTTTTGCATTCTTCTTCGGTTTCTTTCAAAATAGCAAGTTGTCGTCGTGTTCGTCGACTAATAGCTTCTGAATTCAAATCTGTTATGCGTTCTTCTTCTGTTTGTTGTAAATTTCGAAGTTGTCGACGAGTTCTTTGACTAATAGCTTCCGAATGTAATCTTGTATTTCGTTCTTCTTCTGTTTCTTGTAAATTTCGTATTTCTCGTCGTTTTTGTTGATTAATGGCTTCAAAATTTAACCTTCTATTTCGTTGTTCTTCTGTTTCTTGTAAGTTTCGAAGTTGTCGACGAGTTGTTTCACTAAGAGCTTGCGAATGTAATCTTGTATTTCGTTCTTCTTCTGTTTCTTGTAGTCTTTGCATTGTTTTAACATCACGTTCTCTTTGTAATCGAATATTTCTTTCAGTTTCACTTTCGTTTAGGTTTCGATGTGTCCGCCAAATACTAACTCTGTTATTAGCTCTATTTGCCGGATAGTGAAATATTGAACAACTGTTATAGTCATTGACCTGTTTGTTCTGTAAGAGTCTAATTATATAAAATTTCAGATTATACTTACAGTATTTTCATATTCTTGTTCATCTATAAAAAAATGATACTTTTACTATTAATCAATAAAAAGTAAAAGTATGATTAGATTACAGGCTGTCTCAAAAGTCACACTACAGTGAAATAGTTGAATTTTTAAGTTGTGGTTCGAATCGAGCAAACAGGCTTATTTTTTTATTTAAGATAGAGACATGTTAGCACTTCAAATATATACGGACAAGCTTAGTCAGAACTTCTGTTAGATACCATTATTGACCTCAACAAAACAAATTATTTTTTTCACAGGTAGGCAAAAAACAACATACAGAGTGATGCAAAAGTCAGCTTGCTAAAAAAAATTGAGTATCTTCACTAATACTCGAGCAAATGAACTGATTTTTTTATCAATAATAGACGTATGTGCACGCTTTATATTCATAAACAGATGAGCAGAGAAACCGTTTGTTAAGTATTTTATTTTTTTCCTATCTGTGAAAAACTAAGTTTTTTTTTGTTGAGGTCAATAATGATCTTTAACAAAAGTTCTCACTAAACTTGTTGGCATGGATTTGAAGTGCTAACTTGTTTCTATGTTAGGTAAAAAAGATGAGCCCGTTTGCTCGATACGAACTATAAGTTAGATATTCAATTCTTCTACTGTCGTGTCAGTTTTCTGACATCCTTTGGCTATTGTTCGGATAGTTTCATACTTAATTTTCCATGATAAATGTCATGGAATGACAGCAGTCGTTTATAATTATAATGTGTATTATAAGTTTATACCGTAAGATCTTATTCAATCTTTACTTGATTAAAGTGTCAAATGCGACGTTTATCATGCTAAAAATTTCGAAAAAATCTTGTTTTTTATGTATTCTAGGGCATGTTTATATGTGATTCTGTATTTTATACAATGGAAGTTCAATAGAAAAGTACCTGATGTAGGTATGTTCGACCTATCTCTTTGTTTTACATGATATGCAATAATGGTTTCAAGTTGTGTATCACACTCTGTGACAGGAAAAGTGAAATAGCAATCTGTTTGATATTTGTGATTGAAAAATGTTGAAGAAATTGGGTCTGTCATAATCTATTGTGTGAAAGCCTGTGACATGGACATCTATTACGCTCTGCTCTGGATTTTTAAAGTGTGTGTCAGTATTTATTAGACACTTTTGACGTCTTTGTCGCGGTCTATGAAGTAGACAGCAAAAGAAAAGGGGTGATGAGTATTTCAAGTTTCTATCCCCATACACTTTTATACTCGTCACAATTTGTTTTCCAGAAAGTTATAAGATTGGTTCAACAATTACCCATAATGGACCGAATTTATTTCGATTAAAGTTTTTTTTAATTAAAATTTAGAATAAACTTTTTGTAGAGTTTGAGGCTTTGATCCAGTGAATGATGTGATAGGATTAGATGCTAATTATTTTTAATTCTCTTAAAATATGGGTATTTAGATTAATATGGGGTTTTATCTAGTAAAGTTGTTCGAGTGAATATAACGCTAAAATCTGATTTAAAAAATACTCTATGGTATAAATGTTTAGACATAATGTTTTAAAAGCTTTGTATCCTGTAAGCATAGTCACATAGATTTCAGATTAGCATATTTTGACAAGCTTTAATGATAGATGTAATTGAATGGTAAGGTAGGCAAAGAAAATTGAATGGTAACTCGATTATAATATTGTAGTATGTGATTAACCCATAGAATGAAACGGAAATCGAAAGACAGAATTCTTCAGAGATATGTACTGTTCAAGTTTAAGTTAAATTTTATCACATGTTCGTACAAACTTGAATATTAAAAATTGCAAACTGATCATTTGACACGTATTACAAGAAACTTCTACAAAATGGTATTGCCTTTTATTAGATGTGGTGCCATTACGTTCAGTCTATTACAATTTAATAAAATGAAACTGTTGGATAATTCTCTTTGATAACGTATCTTTCACTATTTCAAAAATGATTTACCATTAAATTAAACGAAGATAGATTTGCTTATTGAAATATTCAATTTATGAGGTGTTTTTCTGAGAATCATTTGATAATACATATTTAAAACTAACAATTTATTCTAAACT